CACGAATCAAAGTTCCATTAATTCTATTTGAAAATAGGGAGCAACAGTGAGCGCTATATATTTTATAATGTAAGGCAGAGAAGGATGCATTATAGCAGCTGCGCAGTAACCTCTGTCAGAAAAGAGAAAGGTGAGTGTTTACTTCTCTGTGTAATAGAAAAAGATAAGTATATTCTCCCACTTTGAGTTGGTTAGAGCATGCTGGAGAGACCACGTTTTTAATATATTTGTTTTATGTGTATAAACATCCTTTTCTGCTTCTAATACTTACTAGTGTATGACATTGATAATTTACATAAAAAAATGAAGAAGTGTTTTTTGTGTAGTGAAGACTCGAAAACTATTGACTTTGATCAAAAATTTTTTAGAAACTGTTATCTAAAAATATTATTCCGTAAAAAAAGTGGGTTCAAGTATGGTGAGGTTATTTTAACCAAAGACTCATGGCGTAATTTACGATATCATAGATTATGTTATCAAAAAGTGACGGTATTAAAAAAAAATACCATGATCAATTCGCTGAATTTGTCGCAAATTATGGAGTAAGTTAAAAAATTTTATCTGTGTATGTTAAGTAGACGAGGTAAATAATTTTATAGGTTAAACACAGACATTAGATTAAAAGTATTGTAAACATTTTTTTTCGATTAACAATAAATGTTGTTATTAACAAAACATATATTGTTGAAGAGAATGATTTTTTTTTTGTTAAAGAAATAGTTAACATGAATTTCTCAAAATTATTTTGTAAATTAATTTTTTTTTATTTCTAATGATAGTAAGTTTTGGAGTGCATTTTAATAGTAATTTCATACTTTAATCTGATCCTGGCGTTTAATTATGCATAGCATTTATTGTCATAAAAATGTAATATCTCAAAATTAAAAACTCAATTCAGAAATATTTTATTAATCACTTATAGTTATTGTGCGACTTATTGAAAGTTTACTGTTATTATTATTTTCAGAAAGAAGAACGAGAACATTCTTTAAATTTTAATGCGCGTAATGAAAATTCTTCATCAGAAGATTTGGTAAGCATATTGACATTGCTTTTATGTACAATAATGTTGTATATTACTTCATTAATTATTTTATGGAATCAAATATTTAGATGACTCCAAGTACATCTACAGCTCATGATCATGGTAGTCATTTGGAAGCTACTGAAAATTTCAGTACAGAAGAGACTGAGCAAAACAGTGCTAACACGCAAGATAAAGCTGTTACAGATTTAATCGAGGTACTGATGCATTTTTAATTATTGATTTATTTACAGTTCATTGATGTTTTATATAAAGCAAATTCCATTAATTTCATTTTTTTCCTACGTTTTCTGTTGCTTTTTCACTTCATATTTATGTCATATCTCGTTTTATTATTTGTTTCAGACGCCATTACTGTCATCTCCCGTGAATGATTCCATTGTAGAAGAGCCAGCTTCTTTACTTGCGACTCCTCGCCCTACAACAGCTTTTGAATCTTTTAACATCTGATAACATCGATTCATCGCAATCTACGCAGTCATCTTCAGCACGTTCTCAATCGACATCAACTATCAATAAAAATACAGTATGTCTGTTTTGCGGATACAAGCAGAAAAGAAGTGGCAAGATTGTTAAATGTTATATTTCCTGAAAGTTTGGAACAACGTGCAGCTGTGAAATTTTGTTTTCTGCTTGGTAAAAGTGCTGCTGAAACTGTTTCAATGTTAAAAACAGCTTATAAAGACGATGCGATGGGAAAAATTCAAGTGTACCAGTGGTTTGTTCGCTTCAAAAATGGCGACGAGTCAATTGATGACCGACCTTGTTCTGGACGTCCATCAACTGCTCGAATCGAAGAAAATATTGAAAAGATTCGAGAGTTTGTGCTCACAGACCGTCGACAGACAATTGAACAATTATCAAAGATTAGTGGGTTGTCTTGGGAGCACGGTTCGGCGAATTTTAACCGAAGATTTGGGAATGAAAAGAGGTGCTGCCAAGTTTGTTCCTCGTGTTCTGACTGACATGCAAAAAGCTTGAAACAGCTTGAAACGGATCCAGTTTTTCTTTCAAAGATCATTACTGGTGACGAGTCATGGTGCTATGGTTACGATCCAGAAACGAAGCAACAGTCCAGCCAATAGAAGACGTCACTGTCTCCCCGTCCAAAAAAATGTCGTCAGGTCAAATCAAACATCAAAACGATGCTGATTTGCTTTTTCGACATTAACGGCGTTCCACCAGGTGAAACCGTTAATCAAGCTTTCTATCTAGAAGTTTTAAGAAGATTGCGCAACAGTATTCGACAAAAAAGACCCGATTTGTGGCGGACAGGGGACTAGTTCTTTCACCACGATAATGCGCCTGCGCACACAGACATTTCTGTTAAGCAGTTTTTGGCTAAAAATGGCATGGTTCCTCTGCCTCATGCACCTTACTCGCCTGATCTCGCTCCGTGTGATTTCTTATTTCCAAGTATGAAAAGGGACCTGAAAGGACAGCGATTTGACAACATTGAAGAGGTCAAGAAAAAAACGAGGGATGAGCTGTCGGCTATGGCCAAACATGAATATAAAAAATGTTTCGAACAGTGGAAGCATCGCTGAGACAAATGTATTAGTTGTAATGGAGAGTATTTTGAAGGGGATAAGTTCGTTCTGTGATTTTCAAAACAATATATAGTTTATAAAAAATGATTCCGGTTTTTCTTGGATACCCACTCGTATATATGGACGGGCAAAACACTTTTTGTAATCTTGTTTTACCTTATAGCCTCAAATATCCCGTTATAAAAGCTTCGCCGAAAAGAAATCGACGTCTAACCACGACTTCAAAAAAACCGTCACCACCACCACCACCACCGCCACCGCCAAATGACAGAACCGACCCCCGGAGGTGTAACAAGACAAAATGGTGAGCCACTTCTACCTCTCCTACCTCTCGACTAAAAGGAGAAAAGTCAATCTCCTATGTTTATTTCAATAGCAACAAAAAAATAGTAAAAAATCAATCATAATCAGAGTATTTTTTATAGTCATAAATAACCAACTGCACAACCTAATTGTAAGTAAGAAAAAAAAGAAAAAAAAGAAAGCTAAATTAAAAGCGGGAATTCAACTCAATTGTGAATGTGAATGAAACTTATTTTGGAGTGCACCGAACAGTTACGATTCCAGTAATCATACGGAACCATTTTGATTTTTTTCATTCGCGCTCTGAGCATTCGAAAAATAAAATATCTGGTATTGCTCTTTCTATTTGGTTATTTTGGTTCAGTATATGCGTTTTAAATAGTTAGCCGCCGTTTATTGTATGTATTGCACACCGATATCTGAATGTTCCTTGGTTGCCTACTTGGACAAGCATATCCTGCTTCTTTCCCAACATTATATATTATTAGATATTGGCTAGTAGTAGTACGACTACTTCTGGGGATACCCTCTAGATGCTACCCTACACAGTTCAGGCAACGGCACCCTGCACTCGTAGCCGCAGCAGTCTTCTGCAGGATTCGACGAATTTTACAAGCGCTTGAGGCAGGAGCGCCTACAGATCCCTCGTTGTTGCGATTTTAACTGTTTGACGATTTCTTGATAAAGCTTTGATCGAAAGACTAAAATTTCTTCTGTACACATCAGCTAATCAGACAATTCAGAGCAGACCGTTTTTTGATTTTTATAATCCCTGCAACCCTGACTTCAGACATGTGTAGCAATATCATTCCGAAATAATTTATAGGCAAAAACGCTAATTAAAATATTGTCAAGAATTAAGAGGGTTTCCTCATACAACCGGCTCGTGATGCTCCACTTGAGTAATTTAGTTTTAGTCTGTTTCTAGATTTAAGTTTTTTTCAAAATTTAGATTAAGTTAGTGTGTGTTTATTTTCTTTCTTTAATTTAGAGTTCATTTCGGGTAACTTTTTCTTTTTCTTCAGTTTTTAGTCTGATTAACATAAGCATTAATGTAGAGCATTTTTGTAAAACCAAAACTGCAGTTAATTCAGAGTGAACAGTCTAAACCGTAAATCCTTACTTTACTCTTCGCAGAAAAGAAATCGAAGTCCAACCACGACTTCAAAGAAAGCGACATCAACTCCACCACCACCAAAGGACAGAACCGACCCTCGGGAGTGTGACCAGACAAAATGCTGAGTCACTTATACTTCTCAACTCAAACAGAAAAGTCCGTCTCCCATTTGTTAGATGTATATTTGCAGTCATAAACAATATATGGAACAACCTAAATGCAGGAAAAGGTTGAAAGCTAAATTTAAAAACTGGAATTCAACTCAATTCTAAACAGGTGGGATCACATTCGATTTTGTAGTGTGTGAATGACACCTATTTTGGATGTGCACCAACTAGTTCCGATTCGAGTGATCATAGGGAACGATTCTCCATTGCTCTTTCTATTTCGTTTCGTATATATTATTATAGTTCAATTATTTCAATGGATGCTAGTTTTTGGTAATGGTGGTATTCCACGCCGGCTCCTTTGCCAATTTTGTATTATATGGTGTTAAATATTCACTGTAATTTTTGTCGTTCGTGGCGAAACTACAACTACTTTTGGGGATGCCCTCTTGATGTTACCCTACTCAGTTCAGGCAACGGCACCCTGCACCCGTAGTCGCATTTTTCTGCACGATCCGACAAATTTTACGAGCGATCAAAGGGTTAAAATCCCTTCTCTACGCATCATGCTGGCGCAGTTCAGTTTCGTTTAAATAGTCGTGCGCGAGTCGTGGAGAATTTAAAAAAAAAGCCCTCCGCAGCTGCGGTTTGCTGGCAAATGAAAACTAGACCTGCACCGAGTCACTAGTCAAAAAGAGATTGCCAAGATTGGACTTATTTATGCATCGGTAATACTGTAAGGGGAGAATAGTAAGTAACCAAATAGTTATAGAATAGAATATAAACAAAAGGATAGTCAATACAAAACGATTTGTTAGATATTAATTTTTATTGCATTATTAACAAATATTTATTACTAGTCAAAAAGAGGTTGCCAAGAGTGGACTTATTTATGCATCGGTGATACTGTAAGGGGAGAATAGTAAGTAACCAAATAGTTATAGAATAGAATATAACCAAAAAGGTAGTCAATACAAAACGATTTGTTAGATATTAATTTTTATTGAATTATTTACAAATATTTATACTAAGCTATAGAAACGTCAGGTGCCAAACTCGCTGCATCCACGTCGTTCTATAAGGCATTTAATTTAACATTGCCGTTAGAATTTTTGAATTCTGGTAATTCAAAAACCCACATGCGTTGAATTTAATCGTACCAGCTTTGGCAGTTTTGGAGATATTTAAGCTTTCCCATACTTCTTACTGAACAAGCGGTCTTTTCATAGCTCACTAATACTCTTTTTCTAATTATCGAGACCTTACTAAATTCCACATGCGCAACTTATCAGCCTATGACAAAACAAATGTTAAATGTAAGAAATTAAGAAAATCTAAGCATAAAGAAGTTGATAACGGAAAAGTGGGAGAAAAGGGAATAAAACGTTCCTATAAGTGAATTGGGAACTAGGGTTTAAAAATCAGAAGTAACTGTTCTAAAGTTGGATAGAACGTTTCATTGCCTACCCTGAGAGAAAATTTGATCACAAAGAAATTTTTAATGCGGATAAAAAAGGCCTACTTTTATAAAATGACACCCAAGACAACACTGCAATATCTTGGCGCACAATGTGCTTCAGGCAAATTGTCTAAAGAAAAGTTACAGTGCTACTAGCGGAAAACATGTCTGGAGCAGAAAGGAAATTGTTGGGGATATGAAAATCTGTTAATCCAAAATGTTTTAAAAACATAAAGTATAAATCAAACAGTAAAGCTTGAGATCTTTACAGCTGAGTTACGTGAATTGGATGAACTGAAAACGAGGAACAGGAAAATTTTACTTCTTCACAATTGTCTGTCACACCCCTATGTGGAATGAGAACAACTAAAATTTTATGCCACCTAACACAAGTTCAGTCAATCGATCAAGGAGTAATTCTCCCTCAAATGTCACTATAGGAAAATTCTTCTTATGAAGATGATGTAGATAATTGACAAAAATAAAGCCGTAAATTACGTGCATATTATAGCATTTTTTGGTTGATTTAAGCAAATGTTACCTAGTTAGTGTTGTGCTCTTTTATACGTTTTTCTACACTAAAAAGATTGTATTTTATTTTTAATCTAAATAGAAATCAAGTACTATATTTATCAAATATGGCTTCAAATAAAATATAACACCTAACACCTGGAAATCTTTAAACTGATTTTGCTAATTTTTAGAACCAATTATTTTTTCTCACAAAAACAAGCAAGATACGCAAACTAGTTAAGAGTCAGAAACGTTGCGAGTCTTATTGGCTTATTCAAAGTAAATAAGGATAATTGCAAATGTCAACGGCGTACATTTCTTTGACAATACAATTAGGATACATCCCGGGACGGCACTGGACTTCGTAATATCAATTTGGTTAATTCAAAATTAACTCTGCCTTCCTCCTGCGCCGGTTGTTGTTGTTTCTGACGTTTCGCCACTCATGCTGTTATGCTGTATTATGTAGCTCATTGTATTTCTATTTTTATAAATTCTTCTAAAATACAAAAGTACAATGTTTATTAATGTAAATGATTTCGGCTAAACAAAAGTCGAACCCAAATTTTTCGATAATATAAAAAAATATTCCCGCAGTAATGAACTACCGCGTATATAATGCAATATTTTCAAGGTATAAATTAAATAAATGTAAACAATGTTTGTCTCTAAGTTCGATTTGAGATAAGGTGTCATCCAATATAACAATAAACGAGCCACCCAATAAGTAGGTATAAACCAACTTTTTAGTTTTAAATACAAGCAAATGCATATATTTCTTGCGAACAGCAAACAGCAAAAACTCTTTTTTTTTGGGGTAATTATATGTAAATAGATCAGCAAGGATGTAAACGAAAAGATCCAATTTTTGCAAAATTAAAAAGAATTTACTGAGACTTAAGCCTCGTATAAAAATAATAAGAAGCAAACGCAAAATAAAACCCAAATTGTAAAAGCAGCTTATAAACATCCAAAAAATATCTTCGAAGACGCCGTCCAAAACACAAAAATAAACTTGGATCGCCGAAAACAATAATTAAAAAAATAAAAACGGATTTCCGAAAGGAGCGTGCTTTACCGACATAACACACAAAACTTACCAATATGGGGCCGCTGAAATAACGTAACTTCACAAACATGTCTCGAATTTAATACAATCGGGTCATGAACTTTGATAAGAAAATTCAATAACAACAAGTCTTTACGCAACACGAAAACTCCACTCACCACACTCCACATTCACGTTCAAACACAATTTCTCCGCCAAAATGGACGGCAATGTTACAATCGCATAATAGCAAACACCACTGAAAAATATTAGAAATAGCTGGTATAATATAAACACACAAGAACCATTCGGCCATAACCAAAGCAAGGGAGACGCTGTCAACTACAGTATCAAAATGCAGAACGCACATTGTTTAGCGGACTCTGGTCTGAACTATGAGGTTCGGTAAGGAACGCAGAAACAACAGGGAAACCGTGAACATAAAATGAAAACTCAAATCATAAATCAAACGCACTTCGTGAACTTCGAGAGGGGTTTATGAATAATCTCGTCCAAATAGATCACTGACGGAGTATAGAAAGCCTGCGCTCATGACCTACAAAATTTTAACTATCTTGCCATTGGCCCGTAAAGGCAGGACGTAGGGTACATCCCTGCCTGCGACTATACCGCCACACACTCCCTGGTTAAACAACCATATTTTTAAAGATAGCGATTTTATGAATAATCTCGTCCGAATAGATCACTGAGGTAGTATAGCAAGTATGTGTTCATGATCCACAAAATTATAACTATCTCGCCAATGGCCAGTAAAAAGACAGGAAGACGTAGGGTACATTCCTGCCTGCGACTGTACCGCCACACACTCCGTGCTTCAACCACCATATTTTTAAAGATATGAAAAAGCGCGATTTGGGTGATCTATTCGGACAAGATTGTTTATAAAATCGCCCTCGAACTTCACAAAGTTCGTTTGATTTTATAATTTTATTTCATATTTCGTCCGAATAGATCACTAAGGTAGAACTTTAAAGGTAATAGCACTTTTTCAATGATTAAAAAATTTTTTGGCAAATTGAACTTAAAAAACTTATAACTCAGAACTAGGCTAAGAATTGGTATTAATTTACACATTGTCAACCAAAATGTTTCAAGACACTTAATTTAGCAATCCTGCTAAATAATAAATATAAAAAGTTTTATCTACAAGACAAATCAGAATTATTAAACGATTATATAAGAAATAAATTAGTGCAGGATCCATACTTATTTTACAAAAATGTTAGTAGTTCAAACTAATGTAAAATCAGCGTTTTCTTGGTAACAAAAGTTTTTCCCTTAGATATTTTCTGTAAGGTTTTGAACACTGTTTATTGGGATGTTGTAAAATTTTGTCAATACTGAGGAATTTTGGTTCAACCAGCAGTTCTCCTAATTGTAGAACACCATTCTTAAAGACTGTGGATATCGCTGCATGTTTCACTGAATAGTGAATATCAGATTCAGCTATAAAATCTTTAATTAAAAACTTAAAAGTTCCCAACAATTTGGTAAAATTTTTGATATTGCAGGAACTTAGTTTTTTAAAGTTAATAAGGCTTGAATAAACGATTTTGCATTTTTCCGAAGGTAAGTTGATTGATACATATGTAGTTTCCAGTATAAAGCATAGGAATCTACAATTTTGTTTTGGAATAAGCTCTTACCATAGTTTACCTAGAAACCACATTTTTTCAGATTTTTTAAGATTCTTTTTGCTTTGTTAGCACATTCATGGGCGTTTTTGGCAATAATTAGAAAATCATCAATGTAAACTACTACAAATATACTCCTTCTAAAATAGGTCACTATAAGCCTTGTAAGTTTTGAAAAAAATTAAGGGAAAGCAGAGAGGTGGAAATGTAAGATTTAAATTTAAACCTTAAAGGTTTTCTGTTAGCAATACAGCCAGCATAATATGCGTCTTTCAGATCTACAATGGCTATGAAAAAGTTCGGTTGCAGAAGCTTAAAGGCTGTTTAAATATTCACTAATATATACAAAGCTATTAATTTTTTTTTAATTTAAAATGAATCTCTCATTTTAATTTGGTTTAAAAGTTAAAAAATGATGAGACAAACTGTCCAACACTTGGATTACATTTTTTAACTTCTTTCCTTAATAATTCCTGAATCTCTTCTGACATATCCTGTTCTTGTTGACTATTAAGATTCGAGCATAACAGTAACAGTGTACCATTACTGGTAATATTCGTCCACTCAATGAGGTGGAAGAGTAATTTTCCAGAAATGCATTTACTTACCAATCTATAATAATATCAATAACATCTATTTTTGTGGCTCCTAGGAGGGCTGTAATGCCCCTTTGGGCCCTGCTGTTTAAATTTCTGTTATCGACTTTCTCCTGTGATCTGAATACCTTACTTACCTTCTCTCATTATTTGCAAATATCATATCTCTTTCAAAATTAATGGCCTCTAATCCTCCGGTTGTATGGACCAATTGTATTTCAGATTTCCATTTATCCGCAAAGTTTTTACCAAAAAAATATTGCTCAGATTGGTTCTGGCATGCAATATCTTCGCCACTTTTTTTAAAAAAATGAAGGTATGCCAACAGCTTCACAGCGCCATTCGGAAAGGGAAGTCTTTCACAAGGTTTTGTCCCTTAGGAAAATATTCATTGCCATTCCAATAGTGGAAATGCCCTTACCTATTTGGTTCTGCAACTGCATTTGAGAGGAGTCGTTATTGAAGATTTCAGCAAAATTTTGATTTCTTCATTCATTGTAGTGCAGTTAATAGACTACAATTATTTGGAATTCCATATTTACAGAACAGTTCTTCCTTAGCCCCTTTCTCTTTGCCTGGACCATTTTTAAGAAGGTACAGAAGACAAATTGTGAAGTTGATAATGGCTAGCAGATCTTGAAACTGCCCTATGAGAAGTCGAATTACTTTATTCGACACTTATGGGGCTCAAAGTTCAACTTTGTGTAGAATTAAGTGAAGTTGCAAGGCTTCTCATTGAGCATTGGACTCACAGCCAAAACTTGAATGTCTCAAACAATTTCAGGGTTTCTTGTATTGCAGGCTTTCAAAAGAAGATCTTCAATCCGCTTTTATCCGCGTCTGAACCTAAAGGTGACCTTGAACGCGTCTTTTTTTTTTCAGACTTTTTATGTTTAGATTCTCATTCGGGTCTCCTGGATGTTAGAGAATCCTTTGAACTGCTTTTTTCTTTTCTTGCCACCCATTTTTTGGCCCTAAAGGAATTATTATCCAAAAATACGCACATGCAAAATGTGTCCTGAGCACAAAAAAGCAATATGACGGTTGAAGCACGGAATGTGTGGCGGTAAAGTCGCAGGCACAGATAGGTGCTGCTTTTTTAAAGGCCACTGGCAAGATCGTGAAAATCTTGTGGATCGTAAGCACGTCACAGACTTGTACTATCTTAACTATCAAATCAATATTATGAAATAAATAAACTCACCTCAGTCTTTTGTGAAATAAACATTTGAGTTCAATGAGAGTATGAGGTTCGGAAACGAAAATGTATTTCATGAACAATAACATTATGAAGGTAAAACAGTGTGAAGATATGGAGGACATTTCTTGTATAACTAAAATCTTTTGTTTTTGTTTTGATTACAGCAGGCATAGAGAACATTTGTTAATTTACTTACTTTTTAGAAAATGTACTATGTTAAGGACCTGCTACAAAAATTGGGAAAAAAATATACAACAATCTCCTATTACAGGTATCTGCCATAAGTATTAACATGTATGATGCAGACAAAATGATTTACTATCCGTTTTCCCCTAAATAAAATTCGTTTAGGGCCCTAAAAATATGGAGAAAAGAAAAGAAAAAATGTTAAGGAAATGTGAATGAAAGGCTATCAGAAACAAAATATAGGTTTTAATTTAATTAAGCAAGTTTTTGAGAAATATGCCAGAATTTCTGAAAAACTAGTAGGAATTCCTGAAAAACAAGTCAGAATTTCTGAGAATTAGGTCATAATTTCTGGAAAACAAATCAGAATTTCTGACATTAGTCTTTGGTCACTGGGAATCAAAAAATCAGATATACATTGTAGTTCATAAAATATGGGCAACCTTTAGGGGTACTACTAGACAACGGAGTAATATGAAATTCCAACAATCAATTAGAAATTTTTTATAACTAATACCAAAATTCACTCAATTGAAGGCTGTCGGATTATTTTATATCTCCATAAAGATTTGTTTTACCGAAAAATTTGAAATATAGTACTTTGGTATGGATGTGGAAATAGTTGCTATTGAACAGGGTGTCTAATAAGTTTCTTATACTACCCACCTTCCTTTTTTTAAACTAAAATATGAAACATCCTATTCATCAATACAATTGCTTTTTTTTTTAGTTCCAGGATGTCGCCACCTAGTGTGTTACAATATTGAAGAACAAGTGGGTTTCACTAAATATTTGGGAGTATAAAAAGACAAAAACTTAAGGTGGGACATTCACCTCACATACCTTACGAAAAAGATAACACTATTGCATAAATGTTATCTATTAATTAAGATTAATGGTGTTATTATATAAAGCCCTCATTGAACCTCTGTTGATCTTTAAATTAAAAATTAAAATTCTTAAAGTAATACAAAATACCATTATACAGTTAATGTTTAAAAAACCGAGGTGTTTTTCCACAAACAAATCGAATAGTCATGAAATAAGTAACTTAAAAAAAAACTATAATTGCCTGCTGCGCTTATCTACAGGGTGGCCGGTTTAACATCAGCCTATACCTTATCTCGAAATCTATGAGTGTTATAAAAAAAACTTTGAATTCAAAAGTTGTTTCTAGTAAAATGATCTCTATTTTTTTGTATTATTTCAATTGTCACTCAATTGTCATACAGGTTGGTCAAGTAAAGTAAATAGAATAGAATACCCTATATTTTATTACATTTTTAAATACCCCTTTAAAAGACGAATCTCACTATATACATTGAGGTTATGCTGGAAAAGTTTTTCTGGGTAACGTATTTTAGAACATAATAATTTTTCTCATATGTTTAAAATTTAAATAGTTTTATCAAATACGCGCTGTTGCGAGGTTTCGCAAAACGATACTTAATATTTTATGGAAAAAACTTGATAGCAGATTTTTAGATTTATTAAGAAATAACAAGACCCTTATTGGTGATGCTATTCCAGAAGTAGAACATCGTAATTTAATTTGGCAATAAGATGGCGCTCCTTATCATCGAAGTGTTGATATCAGTGAAGGAACTCGGATTTAAACTCCTTGGACTTCTTTTTGTGGGGCACTTTATAAGAGATAGTATACAAAAAAAAGCCCATAGAAATTTTTGCATTACTACAACGAATTGAGGATGCAATTAAAAAATTTAATGCAACCAAATATATATTAAATATCATAAATTACTTTGTAGGTAATATCTTACATTATTGAAAAGTGTGGACATGTGGAAATATAATATAAAATATTTAATTTTTATTTTTGAAAAGATTTGTCAAATATTACTACTTTAAGAATAATCTATAATTTTTAGAATATTTTAAATAAAAGGTTGTCAATATAGCAATTTCATTGGAGACGCTTTCAGAATTAAGATTAATTATGTTACTGTTGCCTTGGAATTGATAAAAATTGACAGTAAATTCAAAACGGTGTAACAGACCAATGTTCATATATATTGTTGGATATTTTGCGAAACATAAAGTGATATGTATAAACAGAAGGGAGGTATTTAAAAGGTCATATTCTTACAATGTTGCTTCACTAGTTAATTCTCTGGACTGGTCTACTCTCAGTTAAAATTTAATCTTCTCCAACGTCAAAAGTAGTGTCTTGCAATACTTGTTCATTTTTGTTCAACTTTTCCTATTTTTCTCCTTTTATTCCTACCTCTTCACGTTCCCTTCCCTCTAGGATATTTATTGATTATTTACTACTATATAAGACATATCCTTTGCTATCTTTGATTTTTCTTTTTCAATGATGCTTTAACAGGATCTGGGTTTTGCGTGGATGGCTGCGATTTAGTCAAGTCTTTTGCTGCATGTTTGTAATTTTGCATCCTATTGTAATTTTTCATTCTGGTAGCAATAAATGTTTTTTATTGTATTATTTATTTATTAGTGGAAATCGAGGCAACTAGAGATTTATGTTAACAGAGCTTCAGCGTCTCGTTTTTTTGAATAACTGCAAGTGTTTCGGCTAGCTAAGCCACTATTACTTCAAAAAAAGCCTTGACCATATATTAATTGATTTGGATAAAATGAGGAAACGTAAAATCTAATTCTCATAAGCCTAATTCCGGGAAAGAATTGAATAATTGATTATTAACAGTATTTCATAAATGTTACTTTTTCTATTATTACTGTTAAGTAAATCCTATTACGTTTCCATTGTCAAGTATTTTAATTGTTGATATAGCATTTTTTCTAACCTGACCTTTTTGACGTACACTTGGCTGCAATTAGGTTTTCACTTATTTTTTGCATTCTGTAGTTCTTTACGCAAAGATGGAAATTTGGTCCAAACATTTGATTTCTGCACGACACGTGCAATGATTTTGGTAAGGGTTCAGTTGGATACCGTCGATTGATGGGCACGCCACGCAAATCCCGGATCACCAGCATACGGAACAACAAACCTAATTCTTTCTTCATTACTCAACGTGCCGCCCCTATATTCTTCAGTATCTCCAAGAAAATGGTTAGTTATCCACTGAGCATTAACTCTGCTAAAGAATATAAGGCACAATAGTCTACTTCCCTTGATTTCCTACGAACCTTAAACACCTAAATAGGCATAAATTCGGTCATCGCATACTCAATGGACGGACATTTTTATGCACTGGAGTGGCTTCCTTAAAAATGTGAGAAAAAAGTAGCCAATTGACTTTATGCACATCACCAATTGCAACACCGCGTATTTGATAAAAATATTTCAATTTTGAATATTGTCTAAGAACAAGTATTATTTTCTGTAATACATTATGCAGGAAATTGTTTTAAAAGTTTATATGCAATGTCACAAAACATTTCCAGCATAACCTCAATCCCCAAGATCTTCTATTTAAAAACATAACTTTATTTGACCACTATGTATGTAATTGAGTGAAAATGTAAATAATACAATAAAAATTAAAGACAATTTTACTGGAAACAAGTTGTACAACACTCATAGATTTACAGATAACGTATAGGCTCCTCTTAAACCGGTCACTTTGTATATTAAGCAAAACACAACAAATCTTCCTCGCCAAGTATAATAATCTAAACCTATACATTAAATTGCCCAAGAATGAATAGAGCCCTGAGTCAACACTCCGCTATATTTCTAGGTCCAACATATTATAACCTTTTACTAAATGATTTTAAAAAAATAAAGGTAATGCCTAGAGAGTCCAGCATTTGATTCAAAAAACACCTTTATATAAACCTGCTAGTATTGTTTGCAATATCTATGTGTAGGTTTAAGGATATTATAGAACGTATTATATATTTCTTTGGCAGCATACACAGAAACCTTGGATCTAGGTGCCTCTAATATTTATTCTGATATATTCACTATTCAATAAATTTGATTTGATTTGATTCTTCTGTGCATATCGTGTTTGAGGTTCAGTTCATCGCTATTGGGTTTCTCAGGTTTGCCTTGCTCATGCCTAACAGATGCGCTGGTCAGATAACTCAAAGAAACATCCTGGACCTAGGATGGATGCAAATCAATCGTGATACAAGAGGCATGGAAGAAAGACGAAGAGGCCTATAGCTAGAGGTAGATGCTTAAGACTAATTAGATAGATGCCTAACAGAGCTCACTTTTGAGTTTCTTCATAGGGCAATCTTTTAATGTCTTGAAATGGGTCATAATCACAGCCAGTATAGGCAAGATTCTTGTAGTGGATTTCTTAGCAATAGATGAGAAAATGCCAATATTGGTCGTGGTCCTATCGGTGAAGTTCCTGACTCCTTCCTGCGAGAAGGTTGTCTTATTAGTTTCCCTCTAGGATACAGCTTCCAACGGTTTTCAACCCTTTGAATGCAGCCTGGGTATTCGCAAGTATATTGATGTTCCTCTGTGTGAGTGCCTCTCTACAATCATTCTTAGACAAATATCGATGGCACGCACTTCCAGACGATGATACTTTATCCCAGAATCTGTAAAAAATAAATAAAAAAAGTCAAATATTGTATGGACTTATACAGTTAAAATATAATATTAAATGACAAGTAGAAAACTTTTAATTTGAAATAGAACACCCTGCAAATAATAATAATAATGATCAATAATAAACAAAAACACATTAATTTAGAAAAAGACGACCTAACCTGAAAACTTGAGGCCTAAGAAATACAGGGACAATTATGAAAAAGTATCATACACAACGTAATCTTTAATATTACAGGGAGGAACAATAACCGTAGGACAATATCGTTTATTTGAACTTATGCCTATTTCATCTATAATTAACTAGCAAATACTGTTTTTCAAAACGATATAGAAAAAATTATTATATTTAATTTACCTGGTAATTGATTAAGAAATTTATTTATTACATAAGAAAATGACCGTTCCTAAAGCTCAATCGAGTGAAGTGATAGTGCGAGCGTCTTATATATTTTATTTTTTCATATAAGTAAGAAGGAGATTTTTTCACAAAAATCTTAGAAAATGAGCGATTTTACATGCTACCCAGTGTGACTTAAATGCTCAATTTTTTTTAAAAAGAATATCAGCCTCATACAACAGTTGTGTAATTTCTAAATATGAAAAATATCAATGCGATTTCAACTAGGCAAATAATCTTTAAATTGAAGTAAGTTTTTTGAAAACTTTTAGATATGTGATTTGAAAACTGATACTGATACTGATACTGATAATTTATTTGCATTCTACATGAAAAAATAATATTTGTTTTTATATGAACATGAGTGCATGCATAGTTTTCAAGATATAGGGTGTCAATTTTCAATAACGTGATAATTTTGTCTGTTATGATGTGCAGTGGCCTCCCGGGGGACACCCCGTCGAATATTTTTGACAAAACAAAAAATGACTTTTCAACCATTTTTGTTTTTAAATTGAACAACTGAAAATGTCTCTTAATTTTTTTTTACGTTGCTTTCATTTCCAGAAACAAAAAGCCAGTAATTCCATGTTCTTTATTCAAAGACAAATTCTAATGGATTTTTATTAATATCTTTAATAACTGTTATCCAGATTCCTATTAATGTGACAGTTTTATGTGACTAAATTTTCCGGAACTATATTAAATTTTTAATTTTTTCTCGCAAACCAAGCAAGATTTTTTTGAAAGTTTGACACCTTATATTTTGAGAACTATACAGTTCCGGATCCCAATTTATATAAAATAAAAATTCCTATTTTTCATCATATCATTTATTCCAACATTATTTCCGAAACACTCTAAATCTAAGTCAGGCATTTGCAGGTCTAAATAATGGAGTTGATTTCCTAATAAAAGGAGATCTACTTTAGTGGCACTTGTTGATATTGGTAAAATAAATAAATACAGAGTGGCCAAAAACTAATATAAAAAATTTAAATGAAAAAAATCTTTAAGTTATTTTTTCAAATTGGAAATAACCTATTTTTATAATTTTATCACATTTCTCACAAATGGTTACTTTGTATAAGGCTCGTTCTAGGGATACATATTACAAAAGACTTTAATAGGTTTTTGCTTATAGTAAAATAAAAGAAAATTGTTTCTTGTCACTAACATTTCTGAAGGAATATGGAAAATAAATTGGGAGAATAATCCAGAGCAACAAGATATCTACATAATATATATAAAAAATGAGGAAGAAGATATTTTTCGCTTTTAACAGGGAGAGAACCTTAAAGCTTATAACTAGATAATTTGATGGCAATAAAAACTTTGGTTTTAAACATTGAAAGTATATTTTTTCCTGTTCCTTGGCATTTTTTATTATTTTAATATTTTTTATGTTTCACTTCACTTCATTTGGAGTGCCTTATTTTTACTTTGCCTTGCTATTTTCTGTTTGCATTCGCATTTTCTGCACTGTGTTTTTTGAGTCATAAACTCTGAAATATAAGTAATACTAAAATCTATTTAAAAATATTCGTAACCTTATTAACCAACTAATACATTTCAACGAGCAATGCGTAACAATGTAACAATATATAATTTTCAAGTTTGGAAATTTGCAAATAGAACTTATATTTAAAATAAGGTTAAATTAAAGTTTAAAGTGGAAAATATCAACCGAGCGTAGACATTTATTTCTTAAAAGCATGAAAAATTGTCATGTAGGAGTGATTCTAAAACGTTAGAAAAATTGCAGATAAGGGAAATAGACCAATAGTTTGTGATTTGCAATCAACAGTCTTTCGTGTGTATGACAACAATTTTCATATAACACTTTTTGGAATCCGGCAACACGCTATAATGAATAGCCAATTTGTACAAGAAATAGTGGTTTTAGGAGCCATTAAATATAATACGTGAAAATTAAAAATACCAACAGGACTAGCAAGAATAAATTTATATTTGGTGTGGTTTTGTTGCAATGTCTGTTTATTGAAAGATTTTATTGTACTAATACTTTATTAATATTGATGCAAATTCAGTTTTATCCGTTACAACTTGGGCCATGTTGAAAAACTAATGTTTGCAACAACTAGGCAGGTACTATAAACAAACTTGGATAATAACAATTATAACACATGAGATTTATAAAAATTTTATGAAACTTAAAAGTAATTTATTTTCCAGGCCATAACGGCAATTAACTAAAAGTACAATAAAAACAAAGAAACACGTATACTTACAATATTTTTTTTATTTCCACTGCCTTGTTTTGAACCTATTGCTGATTCTGTCAAGTGTCTTTATACGCATTATATGGTGTGGCTGAAAGCATGTGAAGTGATGTAAGTCTGGGGATCTGTGGAGCCAATATTCTATGTGTATGGGAAATAGTAAATAGGAATCAAAAGTATGAATATGTCATTTCTCCTCAGTCAATTTAACTAGGAAAAAGATATATTTCAACCAAAAAATTGAAAAGTACTGTTTTTTATAATGATTTATTAACTACCTGAAAAAAGTAAAAAAAAACATACTTTGGATTTTACAGCAAGTACAATTGGAGTACTTTTTTAATAGTTTTATAATATCACCAAAGTTTTATAATATCACATACTAGGGAACAATTAATAATACAATATAAACAATATATATTAAATTTTCAAAATGGGCCTGATTTAGGAGTAGCATTGTATATATCTTTTCGTTAATAGGGCCCTTTTAAAAAAAAATTAAGGGTGTTAAGTCCTGTGATTTGACCAGTCACCTTACCTGACCATTAGGACCTATCCAGGTTTAGCGTTGGTTGATTTTACTTCGGGTAAAACCAAATTGTTTTATATGTTCAAGAAAAGAAAATGAATCAATTTTGCAGTATGATAAATCTTTCACATATCAATAAGGAATCTATAATTAAGGAATATTAATGTGAGTTTTAATCAACCTTTTTTTATTTTCTTTTTTATTGCTGAATAATTAACAAATTTCAAAGATGCCCTTTCGGGTGAAATAAAAATTTTTGTCAAACATGCGTCTGGTGGAGGCAAGACTAATAACAAAAACTTACGTGAAAATTTCGCTCCGTCAGTCCCATACTAAAATTTCCTCACAATTTTGACATGTCCAGCTTGGTAGCAACAGCATCGCTCTGATCCATGATGATGAAGAAGCAGTATTATTTTAAGCCCTCTATCCATTCAAATTGACAAAGCCCATCAAAATGGCAAAGTTGAATTCTTCACAAAGGTCCTAAATACAAACGTCAGTTGTAAAACTCACTTTGAAGAAACTTTTACCTTAAAATTCCCTTGCATTTCCAAATGGTAGTGCCAACATGCCAAGGGTTTCCCAGGTGACACAACACCCCAAATTTGTCATGGTTGCAACTAACATGAGGCTTCAGAAAAACAGCAACTTTTGATTTCTATCCATACTCTGGAAAAAACAAGTGAGCGATCAAGACTACAGAATTTATTTATTATTGCCTGCGAGGTTCACCAGCCATCTTTAATTCAAAACATGCCCGGAAATTTGTTTTGGGCTGAATCGGAAAAATCGTTATAACAAAACAAATCTTGCTCATATCGCCTACACCGTCACCCTGAAGTTTACACACCATGAAAGTAATGTTGCTCATATCGCCTACACGCAAACCCAGCAATTTACGAACTTAGAAGATTCAGTCGTCAAATCAGATGTGTATCGCTTCCGAATTCTGATGGCGGTCAAATTCTCAACTTTCCAAGTTTGTTTGCAGAATACTAAGGTTTTCCTTTTCATTGGATGTTTTTAAATATTCCAAGGTTTCTTTCTTTATTCTTTACTTCTAATGGCCAAAATGACATAGGGTCATTCGACCAGCTTACATAATTTTGAACATTATTCAAATATCCTAAAGAATGCCTTCTTACGAGAAGGGTCTGCAGCCAGTTTCTTTCTCTTTCTATGGTTATGGCCGAATGGAAGTTCTACCAAAGTAATCTTTTTTGATTCTGTGGTTGTTTGAGACCATGTTTGTTATATAGCGATTGTGCAATTGCAGTACGGTCATGATTACAATTGCCGCCATTTTGGAGAAGAAAGTGTTCCACGCATATCTGGAGGATAATGTGTGGTTTAAAGATTACCCAATACTTCCATGTCCCAATTATATTAAATTCTAGGCACGTTTGTGATGTTGCATAATTGTAACAACTCCACATTGGTAGATTCTGTGTGTTACGTCGGCTGAATGTTATGTCTTGGAATTCGTTTTTAATTTTTGAGTTCTTGTTTGAGGCGATTCCTATGCAATAAGTTTATTTTTGTAATTTGGCAGTGCCTTAAAAGATATTTTTTTGATGTTCCATCACGTTTTTGCTTTTATTTTTTTGAACGAGTCTTGCATTTACTGAAATTCGGTTTCATGCGGCAACAAGTGGATCTATTCGTTTGCATCTTTTCCATATATTTACATATAAATTTCCCCCAATTAAATACAAGTCAATATCTGGGACATTAAAAGAGTATTTTCGCAAATGGATTTCTGTAATTTTTAATGTACATTGCCCAATTATTGTGCCGCTAATTTCTTAATTGTTGCAGTTTCGAAGAAATATTTACAATTGACTAAACATAAAGCTAATAAGTTAGTTTATAACTACGTTATCTTAGAATCTGTAAAAAATATCAAGAAAACTTCAAAGCAAAAGTTGTTTAGTTCCATTGACGCGTTTAAAGTATTACAATATTTTATACAGAGTAGCTTACCGCTATGGCAATATTTTACATCTCCCTAAGAAATCAAAAATTTTGGGCTCAGCTTTCGTTTAGCCTAAATCTTTTACATAAATTAACATTGTACTTTTGCATTTTAGAAGATATCAACATAGAAATATAATCAGCTACATTAAAACTTATTAAAGTTTTACTGGACACAGAAATTTGAAATCGGAAATGTTATTTGTATTTTTAAGAAAAAATGTTAATGATATTAGAATACCCGAAATTATTTATATTACAATTGATTTTTTGCTTTATCCCACAATGTTAGAGAGTGACTGCTTAAAGCTTTTTATTTTTTTTATACTCAACCTATAAAATAATACCAATGCTGGATTTATCAACAACTTCCAAACATGTTTCCTGTTTGTTCATTTATTTTTTTTTAAGAATGTAGATCCTTATTCAAAAATTTTTTGCCTTAACATAAATTTTCTGCAAAAAATTAAAACGACTGGTATATTTTCTTTTCGCTAGTTGAGTATAACCCGTTAAAGATAATTTTTTTGTCACAGCCAAGACACCGTTCGTGGCATGCATCTCTTGATCTTAAAAAAAATTATAGAGACCTATAAAGCTGGAATAAACAAAGAAGAATAAAAGAACAATTCAGGGTGACAACATAGGTTCGTTTAAGTTTTCAATTCCAGACACTTCTTTCACATAAATGAAGTCAAAGACATGTTAAGAATTTTGATAGAAAATATGAAATAACAAAATAATCGCATTGTTTAAAATAATGTTACATCTCTTCAAATTTTTACAATAACGTAATTAAGAAAGTATTAGGATTAAGTGTAGGATAACCCGGAGGTTTTTAGAAATTCAAAAATAAAATAGTAATATGACTGGTGTTCCATTAAAAATAAGCAAGTTAAGTGATGTAATATACTTATGAGATACCCTGTATATAGAAAACTATTTTCATCGCGTGCAGCAATTTCAAACAACTATTTGTATGCAAAATTTTTCGAGTTGGGGAATTGTAAAAAATACCGCTTTTGTGAGCTACCCTGTATTTTTGAATTCCGTAGAACTTTCTAGATATATTTTGAAATATGAATTTTATGTCAAAAGTGATATTCGCAGGTGTAAAAAAACACATATCTATGGATTTCTCCTACTGAAACATTTTATTTCAGGTGACCAAGTATTTTTTGTCCAAAAGGAGTACACTTTGTAAGTATTTCATTTGTGAAAAAAAAAAACGATGAAAACAATATTTTCTTTTAGAGACGTGCTTTTCTTCGGAGTGGATTTTTTTTTGCTAAATGAGGATGTTCGTCTAATAATGTAGTCACATCCGAACAACTTTTATTTTGCATATTAAATTTGACTGTTAAGAAAGACAGATAATGTTTTTACAGAAAGTTGTGAATTTTCACTACTGAAAATACCTGGTGAAAATACCCTTTCAACAGCAGCATTAGTGCCCGGTCAACATAAGGAAATCTCTATTAAAACTTTTAAATTTTCATGTGGGATATGTTCTACTATAAAATGCCGAAAGATTTCTACCCATCTTTTGTCAAGTTCTATTTTCTCATCGTTCCATTTCTTCATTTAAATATAAATTTCCTTTTCGAATTTCTTTAAAGAGAAAATTGTCATTAATAACAACATCCTTTAATTCCTTCGTTACTTCCTTCGACTGCTGAAGAAACTTCTTTCTATTCAGTTTTACTATTTAGAATGGTCCATTTGAAACAATTTAATGCTTTAAAGTTCAATATCCATTCTTCGATATATTCATAACAAATAACAAATAACAAAATAAAAAAATTAACTTATTTAAAAATTTATTTTTTATTCCGGGATTGAAATTTTCTAAGACGGTGAGTTTATTTTTTAGAATTAGAGGTAAAAATCCATGCTGAGAAAACTTTGATCATGGATTATTGTGTGAAAAGCGAAAGTACATACCCTCCATAACTGCCTTTTTTTTCATTAGTTCTAAAAGTATCCCTTCAAAAAATGTTGCAGATAGTGTATTTAACCGTTTCGATTTTTGACTGCAATAAACGGAAACTCTTTTTTTAAATTTTCGTTTAAACGATTTTTCCTTTTTGTAAATAAAATGAAAATGAAACTATAATATTAATACTTACATGCAACTTCACCTTCACTAGATAAATAAAATAAGATTTTCTTTTATTTTGTACACCTCAAATCTTGTTAGCACGTTCCTGCCCTAAAATTTTCCAAATATTCCTTTATATTTTCAGATGCCAACTTGACAGATTTCAATGACATTTTGACATGACACAAGGGTTGCGTCATCGGTCTGGCACAAAAGTTTTGCCCTTGACCAGCGGTTGACGCAACACATGTATTATGTTACCATACACCCTGAGAACCTGCTGAGTGTGTAAGACTCTCAATATATAACGATGGGAAAGATGCGCAGCAGGAGTCAGTTGAAAATATTTATGTTGTGATCTTGTAAACCTGTAATTCGAAAATAAAGTATTTTTTTGAAAACCACGGTCTAGTTATTTAATTGGCGCAGTCGGGAAGAATTTTCGGGAATTTATACTTATCGAATGTATTCGATGTGTTTCGTTCCAATCAAATTAACCGAAAAAAAAAGAACTCTTATGACACTAGTGGATCTGCTTGAAGCAGTGTGGAGTTTTTCCGAACATCGAAAATCTTCCAATCCATCGAAGATCAGCGGATTACAGTCAGCTAGTCCAGAAGTCGAATCCTTATAAAGAAGCATGACCAGAGTTGACCTATTTAAGTGTAATTGATAATTTAATGACAAGTGTCGACGAAATTATTTGAGAATTAGGCAATTTGCGTTTAAATAGACATTCAACTGACTCTGTTTCAAATCCAGAAACATTATTTACAAATCAAATATACCATTCCATTGATAACTTTTCTCAAATGGCTAATTATAAATTTGCGTACCAAATTTTGACGGTAACCCAAATGATTTTAATCGTTATTTAGCGACATGTCAATCATTAATCGATCATTTTTACGATATCACTAACCGAAATAGTATTCAAAATACTTATTTATTAAACTCTGTAGTCGGTCAACTTACCGGTCAAGCCAATCTTATTGTAAATATTAAAAAAAAATGGTCGATCAAAGAGAGAACCGAGATTTAGTTATGATGAAACAAATTCCCAACGAAAAACCATCTCAGCTTTATGACCGAATATTACACATTTTAAATTTGTTATGTTTTTATATAGATTGTCATGAAACCACCGATGCAACTAAAACTTTAAAACGAAATCTCTACAATAGTCTTGCTTTAAAAACGTTTTTATCATGGTTAAGAGAACCTCTTTTCACTACAATCAGGTGTATGCGGCCAAATAACCTAACGCAGGCATTGTGCACTCATTCCAACCAAATCACGTTATGTTCAGACTACAAAATGTCAATGCACAAAACCCATATGGCTTTCCTAGACCATCAAGTGTTCATATGCGCACACCGCATTATGCATTTAAAACTAAATTTCTTTCACAACCCATCAATATATGGCCCAATTTTAATAGAAATCCACAAAAATATTGTACTAATTTTCAAGTATTCGGTAAACCTAATAATCAAACAAACGTGTTTAAACCCAATCAACAAAAACACTTTCCACCACCCATCCCTATGTCGGGAATAGAGTCAAAAACATTTAAACCCTTACCTAGTACTTCAATGCAAAATTACAATCCACCAACGTTTACGATAGAAGAAGTTCATAATTCCCAAACCGAAAACATGGACCAAGAAAACCCAGTTTTAAATAACGATAATCAAAATTACCAGGATACACCTATCTATGATCATTACTATGCAAATAATGCATCCTGTGATTATAACAAGATCAAACTTATGCCGAACAACAACCTGAAAACAAAAATTTTCGAGAAATGCCTCCGAAAAATCACAAGACGTAACACATCAAATTATATCTTTTAATATGTCAGATCCAAGCGACCTATCATATATATTTTTCCAGAAAATAATATAAAAATTTTAATTGATTCAGGCTCGGCTAGGTCATTTATCGAACCCAATATTGCACAAAAATTATATCCTAAT